TTATATATATATATATATATAATCTCTAGAGAGACATTATTCCTGATGGTTTGCATTATTTAATGAACTAGCATTTGGTAGATCTCTAGAACTGTGGTTCTTTTCACTTTGTTTCAGTGCTGGTTTTTGCTACACTCAGCACCTAAATTCCAAATGTTTGGCTCAGAAAAAGGCAAAGGACATATTTAGTATTAACAGTATTAAGAGAAAAACTCCAAGGAAGTTCTTCCCTGTCCACTCCCAGACTAAGGAGTAAAATAAATAAAACAGCTTCAACACCACTCCTCCCCAAACTGAATACACTATGGACTGATCTGATAATCGCATGGTGTTACCATCAACTGGCATTCTACACGTAAATGTATTTCCAAAACTCAAAGGAGAACTTTGAACTCATTTTCAAGTTGAATTTTAAAGATTATCCCAGCCTTTTCTCTGTTAGTTAACAAGGCTACAAAAATTGTCAATTTCTGCCCAGGTGAGTTGCATGACCCTGGTTAGAACATGTTCCAACTGGCTGCCATCTCCTCATTAAGTACTTTCATGCATTACAACTGATGCTGGATGTGAAGGCACAATCACAAATTTACAATCCTTTCATCAAGGCAGCTAAAAAGTTAAGTATCATACAACGCAGCTTTCCTTCTTCATTTTTCAAATATGTTTCCTTTCCCTTTGTATCCATCACCCTGATTTATGAACACAGGTACTTTTTACTGGAATTGTCTGCAGGAAGATTGACAGCCAGGGGACAGTTGAGTTATATGTCAGAAAGATGATCCTTCTTCTTGATAGGCAACAGAGAGAGGTGTGTTTTTTACCTTGCTAACATGATGTTGGAGTTTGGGTTGCTGGTGCCTGGTCCTGTAGGACTCCATTTGATAGTATAAATCTCTTTGCTGTGAGCCTGAAGATCATGTACACAGGTATCTTGCTTCATACTCCAAATCTATGTCAGAGGTATTATGTTACTGTTACCATCTTTTGTGTTAAGATCTTGACACACATGCACACACATCAACATAATTTTTAATGCATTTTGGCACACACATTAGAATAACCACATCAGGGGAAAGTGCTACGCATTTAATAGCATTTATTCAGTAGATAAGAAGAACTAAATAGTTGCTGTAACTATAGTTGCCCATAGCTTGTAACTATTTTCATACAGGAGCTTAAGTTATTCTATTTAGAGAAGGTTAACTTGAAGTTTGTCACACATTGCAATGGCAAAATTTCAGTAACTCCTTAAAACCTAGCAATTTTCTCTTACACCAGTAAGTTTTTTCTTTTCTTCCTGAACTCCATTTGTTTTCCTCGTGTTTTTAACAGCACAGATGATGAAAGATGATCAGCCGTTTATACACTGTTATGTAGCCAAATACTTCAGCATGAGATGACAGGTAATTTAATACATCTTTTCTTCAGCTAACTGAGAAAGTAAGATGAAGCTAATTGATGGCAGGGAAAATAACTCACATTTAGTTAATCAGTTTCAGAGAGATACCAAAAATACGGCACTGATTTATCTCACTTGTTTTAAGTCTGCACTATGAGGGAAATGATGTGCTCTTGTGCTGAATCTTCATCAGCATACCCGAGTCTACTTTTGGAAATGTTACACAAAGCTTAGGCATATTCTATGGCTAATACGCAACATGTTCCAAGAAGTGGTAGGGAAATATCAAGAACCCAAAAAAAAAAAAAAAGAAAAAAAAAGAAAAAGAACTCATGAAGAGGATTTGCAGTTTCCATCACTGAAGGTTTTTAAAAACAGGCGAGGCCAGGTGCAGCAAACCATTAGCTCTTGTGCTGAATACAGTGGTACAGAAATTTGAACACTGAGGCACACTGGTTTCTAAAACACAGCACACAACTTGGCACCAAAAAATCACGCTGCCCCTGGGTCGGGATGTTTAGGCAGGGCACTAATGGTTACCACCATACTGTTTCTTGGCAGTGTGACAGACAAGGTTGCTCAGTCTCTCCTAGCCCTCTTCTCTGTACATCTCCAGCAACGAAAACCCCAGTGGGTTCGTGGCAAAGACAGAACAGAACTGAGCAGAAGTCAGGCTACCTTTGAGGAAGAAACATGATCCACAACGCTGATGTTCACCTGGCTCTCATCTACAAGCTCTGCTGCTCTCCCAGCTCAATCCTTACACACAGGCTGCGTGCTGCTACAAGTGTCTCTGGCTTCAGCTCTGCCACCCAGCAGTGGGAACAGGTATAAGCCCTGACTAACACAACTCTACTGGGAGGAAACCGTATTACTGGTACAATTCAATCCACAAAGCTGAATGCTTCCTGGGATGTTTGTTTTGCTCAAGGAACCACATAAATCAACAGTCCAGCAGGAGTGCTTTGCTGTTACTGCATACAGCTGTTCCTGACAGGCATCTTCAGAGAGCAGTTCAGATTTTTGGCGGGCTCTGAATATGTATGCTGTGTCCCATTGCTTAGTCCAAGGCTATTAAAAAAATATAGAAATCAAACAGCTCCAACAAAATTATTTTCAGAAAAAAGACTCCAAGCAAAAAGAAGACTCTTTATTTTTGTATTTTTTTTCAAAGTGTAACCAATTGACTGCTTCTTAGCACAGGGATTGTACTTCTATTGACAAGCAAGTAGGTACATATGTGTATATTTGATCTATGACTATTCTGTGACAGTGACATCAGTCAAGTAACACTTATTTGGATAGGAAGCCTCAGTTTTCCCAGTGCCTGCTTCTCTGTGTTCAATCTTTGAGGCTGGCTTTAAGAAATAGGAAACAAAATGAAACTATTGTTCACGCAGAGTTTTAAGTGATACAGCACCATCATTCTGGAGAAGATTAAAAAACTGACATAATTTTTGTCTTTACCTTTTGAACATCAGGAATGGAAATGATATTACCTTTAATGTCATATCATCGGAGCAAGATGCTAGTAGCATGCCAGATGGGTCCCATTTGATTGCATTAACCTCGTTCTGAAACAAGAAGCGGTTTCATTAAGTATATTCCAGTTACCTGGACTGCACCAGGCACCCAGCAGAGGGCACTCAAGGATTATGCATGCAGCAAGCTCAACCATGAATAGCAGCCCGGGCTGCTTGAGGGGCCAACAAAAGCCCTGCTGCTTCTGTAGCATGCTATTTTAGTGCCATTTAGGAGTGGTAACCATTTTGTGTTCCTGAACAATTACACACAATCAGTCTTCTGATATGTGTTCTGGCACAAAATCTCCCATAGCCTTCCTTCATATGCGAGGATTTAAATAAACCCTCAAACCAGACAGATTGTTGATATAGCACTAGCAACCTTTTAAAATTGATAATTCTTTGGTTAATGCTTTGTAGGACTCAAGAGAGACAAATTTTCAATAAAAACTACTGGTAGAGTGTAAAGCTTTGTGGAGTCTAAAATTCTTAGTATTGCAGCTACAACAATGCTCGTCTCTCTGAAGAGAGATACACATATAAATGACCCCCAGGATGGAATACAGAATAGTTCACAACGCTTCCTCCATCAATCTTTCTAGCACTTTGTAATTAACTAAGCCTAGTGTATCCCCTCCATAATCAATAAGTTTTCCATGCTTTTTTGAGGGTCATACAAATGGAGGAAAAAAACATTTCATAAAAAGAGAAAGACTGTTTAATGAAAAAAATAGATTGGCTTAGGGTCTCAGTGAAAATAATCCTGGAAAATATTTAAATTTTGCTTTATACATTTTAGATCTTTCAGTGATAATTAAAAGGAACTGTACAGATATTTGAAGTAAAAATTTGGATCATGTTCAAAATGATGCATTTCATCTAATCATCAATCAGTCTGTTGGTAGGAATGTACAACCTGTCATGAAATAATTACGTTTAATATCTGTTTAACCATAGACTAGATATAAAGGTCTCCAAATGCGTAACTTTTCCTCAGTGGGGAGAAGCAAATTCTGCAAGCTAATATCTAAATTACAGACCAGTATATGATAGCAGTTTTCTCACTGATGAAAATGAGAAAAAACAGTCTTTGACAGTCATTTAATACCACCAGGAAACGAGGGGGGAAATGCTATCTTAAAGAGACGTTATTACATTAAATTGATTCTAAAACTGAACAATGGCTGGAGGTAAACTCTTCTCTCCTTATTCATAGTTCTCATTTAGTAAATTAAATTCAGTCACTGGAAAACAAAATCTTACTTACTAATGTGCCCCTAGTCTGCAGTTCATGCTACACATAAAGTCTCATTGTTTAAAAACTGCAGCTTTTGCCTCCTGTGGTGATGTAGAACAGTCTACCCCTTCTCACAGGCAGTGCATCACTCCCAAGGAGTAAGGTTTTTGCGAAGCAATGGGATGTAACACCTTTGGTGCTAGAACACACCCTGCAAGCATGTCATCTGCCATCATTGTAACATGCTGCTGTGACTTTATCATGAACATTTTGGACGTCTTAAACTTACTGTGTGTCCTTGAAAGGTTTTAACGGGACGATCACAGCTAAGTCTGCATACATGAATGCACATGTCAGTGCTGCAGGAGGCAAAAGTAGTGTTGTTCTGCCAGTCTACATCCAGAGCAGGAGCTGTGAAGTAGAAACAACAGAAGGAACGTCAGGGAACAAAGCAAAGAAACAGATATCCCAAATACTTTTCCTTCTGTCACCTAGCTGGATCAAATGGACTAAAAGCCAGTTCTCACCCTGTCACCTACTACCAGCTACAGGGATGACAGGGACCATCTGAAGGGCACAACTTAATTTTTCCCTTGCAGTGGATAATCGGGGTGCCTTGCATAGCATCTATTTATGAGTCTCGTTTGGGTTAAATAACGTAAGAGGAGGCAAACGATCTAGCTCCACCCTTCCCACTCCCAGCTACACACATCTCTCGGGCCACCTCTACCATTCATTCCTCTCTAAGCCAGCTCAGCAAAGAACCTGGGAGAAGACTAATCCAGTAAAACTGTGGATCATTTCAGCTGGTTAGGAAAAAAGTTCCTGTGCCAGACAAAACACCTGGGAGGGAGAAGATGCAGGTGGGCAACTTCCTTTGCACTAGCTTTATGCAACCAATGATACAAACTTAGCATTCTGGGCAGACACATAGCTTAATAATACCTATGTTGAGTTTAATTTTGTTGGGGATTGATTTAGGATAGGTACAATGATCAAGCTACTCTGAAATAAGAGGAAGAGTTTCTGTAGAGGATTTGGCATTAATTAGGATTTTCTAAATTCTGAAACTTTGTCCACAGGTAGAACACAAACATGTAACTAGTGCCTCTGTGCAACACACACTTTGCAAAAAGTGCTGGAAAAAAGCCCCAACCCCCAGCCCTTTCGCAGCGTGCCAGCACAGACTAAAAACACATACAGGAGCAGGAGGGAACTTCTGACATACAGCTTGTTTGTGTTTCTGCAACTGCTGCTTGGCTTTTTGCTCAGGAAAGAATCTAGCTGCCCTCCAGAGGATGACATAAGACTTGCTAAAATACAGAAATCTTAATTCTCAGCACACTCCTATGAGAAGCAGTTGTGTCAGAATGAGACCCGCATACAGGAACCAGAGTTCAATCTCTTTCTGGCAACAAAACAATGTAAGATTACCATTAAACTGAAACTAAGAAATGCCTATAGGTTCAGAAAAATACTTTTGTAATACAGAAGTGAAAAGGTATCTGTTCTGCTAAGTCTATTGTATTTAAGTATGTTTTGTCCTATGTTATTTTATTATTTTTATGAACTTCAGAATGAGATTCAAATCATCAGGCAGCTCTCTAAATGAGAAAGGAGGGCAGAAAATGTTTCTATACAAGTATTTTTTAGAATATTAATGATAAAGCTCAGTAATTCTGTGGTATGGGTGAGGAATTTCTAATGAACATGAATGGAGATCAGGAAACATTCAGCTGCCTGCTTGTCTGTCTTTTTATGCTGCAAACTTTGTATTACTGTTTCAGAGCAAACAAAAAATCTATCTTCATTAATAACAATATGCCTTCAGGGCTAATACCTAGTGTGCTATGTGTGAATTGAAAAGTAATTTTCTGAGAACTTTTGGCACCTAAAGTGATGGATTTATACTGCAGTGTAATTCGAATCCTAGTGTTGATAATTAATACTGATACATTTGTTGGTGTATTTAATCATATGTTTACTGCCTAAGTAACTACATAAAATAGCCTGGAAAAAACAGCAAAATGTGTTTTTTGATGCAAGTAATTGAACTGCCAAAGTGTCTCCAAAACCACAGGATACTAGCCAATTACATAAAACCAATTAGAATGTCATCTAATAAAAGCAGCAACAAATCCTTAAGAAATACAGCTAAAATAAATCCCAACAATTCACAGAATCGTTTCAACTGGAAAAGACCCTTAAGATTGTCAAGTCCAGCCATGAACCTGGCTCTACAAGTCCACTGCTAAACCATGTTCCTAAGCACCACACCTACAGGACTTTTAAACAGGGATGGTGATTCAACTACTTCCCTGGGCAGCCTGTTCCAGTGTTTGATTAACCTTTCAGTGAAGATTTTTTTTCTAATATCCACCCTAAACCTCCACTAGCTCAACTTGAGGCCATTTCCTCTTGTCCTATCACTTGTCACTTACCCATTTTTAAAGAAATAAGCTTTGTGAATATATATTTTGGTCAAGTGCCCTATAATGACTCATAGTTTTACAAAGAATAATGGAACCCAAGAAGCTACTTATCTACATACTTATGTATTTTGACCATAAAACCTTAAAATTGCATGGGAACATTAATGATAACCTTCAACACCTAGGCAAAGAAGTCTTCCTTTTGTATTTTAAGATGACAGTTCTGTCACTATGCGTGTAAACTAATTAAGTTGTTGTAAAGCAGCAGAGAGTAAAAAATGTATGTAATTCCCAGGCCACATATCTGCAAACTTCAAAGGAGTATGAAAAGAAGGACACCACACAAGTATGTGTTAAAGGAACTGTACTCTGTCTAGACTCGACTTTTAATTGTTAAAATGCCACCTTAATCCTTGGGTATACAAGTTTTTCAGAATCCACATATGGAAAGCCATTTACTGTTAGCTTGTTCTGGTGAATAAATGATGCAAAGAGGACAAGGTGATGTCTTTGTGGCTTTTGAGGTATGTGAGGACAAAGATTCCAGCTAATTTTGAGAAGCTTTTTGTAGAATGTATGCTTTTGGCCTATCAACAATTTCCTTAACAACTATCTGCTTTGTTTCTCTATGAAAACATATTTAAAATAGTATGTTAATTAATTTACATCTCTCCACACCTCCACTTCAGTTGTGTCTTATGGCCCAAAGACAAACAGCAAGACTAATAAGAGCTTAAAAAAATCTATTTAAATGCAGATGGTTAATTGACATATTGCACTGGAAAATGTGGTTAAATTTTCAGGTTGCTGAAAGGGGAAAGGCATGGTATGTCCTCGATGCAAAACACTGCTAAGACAGCGACGTGTCAGTGAACATGATTCTCTGAAGGGGCAACCAAGTTCTGAGTCTGCAGCTACTTAGACCAGTATTTAGGGATTAGAAGGCTTAAGAATCTCATTAACTACATCACTATACAGTGCAAGGTTTGCTATTATGGAACAGTTATGATAGCTAAATAAATGTCGCAGTGAGAAAATCTGTCAGCAGGCACTGACTCCTCCAAACTGACAGTTGCATTAATAAGTGAGAAGATGAGTGACAAAAATGCAGAGTATGGATCTGCTGTGCACATGGATGTACTTTTTGACTTCATCTGAATAACCATTTCAATTGCTACTGCATATTAATACCAGCAGTGAAAATGTGAGAATGCGAACAACCAGAAATGGAGTTGAAACGCACACACGAATTAATGTTTTAAAATTAGTAGTAAAACGTGTTTTTAAACACCAGTAAGCACCTTGTGAAAGCCTGCTGTATTTAAAAAGGGATTAGCTGCAGTGAACACACAGGAAGATGAACATTTCTGGCATCAGAATATGGAATGTTTTGGTGGTTTTAAACTCAGTTTGAATATGTCCCTTAAAATTCATTATGACAACTTATCCAGTTTGGATCATGAACTCAAGTCATCATCTTGTAAGTCTGGTCTCAGGTGAATTTAAGATTACATCAAAGACTGCCTGTTACTCAAGTTTACTTAGAATCTGTTACATCTCCTGTCTTCTTGAAGCAGACCAGATATACATATGACAATCCAAGGTTTTGGTTTAACAAGGTTTTGAAACATGAGGTTGGCAACTGACTTCTGATAATCAGAGAAAGCAAATACTGAAGAACTTCGAGTTAAAATTAAAGCTAAGAAATTCCTGAGGACCTTCATGCTTGCAGTGGTTAATGCAAACTGCATGAGAGATTCGCCAGCTTCTGCCTCAAGTCAGCTTTGCTGCAACAGGAACACAGAGTGGAAGAGAACACAGACATCTCCACCAAAAAGTCTCTTCATAAATCACCACTTGGTAGTATTCAATCACATAGATAACTACAGAATCATTCACCTTGGTAGACATGGCTGGGGTACAAATCCTCTCCCAGAAACAGTTTGACTTTCAAAGCTGATTCTCACAGAATCCCATCTTTCTGAAAAAAGACTAAACCCACAAGCCATGATACCCAGGATAGCTGAAGCACAAAAAGCTCAGCTCAGGCTCCTCTCTGGCAGATAGGTTTTTACAAAAGCATAAATTACATTGACAAAATTAAAAAGTTGCCTTTCATTTCACTAAGAAAAGTTATGCAGAAATTACCTGAATGGAAAGGAAACTGCTGTTTAGCTTCTCCTGTGTGAGCATCCCATATTATTGTTGTCTGCATCCGAAGGAAGGGGGAAAAAAACATTAGTGACTGTTCAGCTCAAAGAAACCAGAGAGCAGCCTCACTGAGGAGTAATTCTAAAAGATGGGCTGATTAAATTACCGACTTCAGAAAGCCTTGTGTGTTGAACAGCTGAAAAAACAGAAATAACTTCCAAATATTACAAAATAATAATCCAAGTGTAGATGAAGAAGTATCATTCCTAGAGAAGTAATATAACTACTAAGAATGGGCATATTATCTCTGAATAATGTTAGCAGACAGCACTACACATTTTTAACAAGCATTTTATTACAGCTGTTTCAGTTACCTTCTTCAAAGAGGACTTCTTTCCCTTTTCAAAGATGTTTTAAAGTCAAATTCTATTCCAAAAATACATTTCTAGCAATTAAACCACCAAGTGAAATGTTTATCTAGCAGTCAAGTACACATCATTTCTTGCCACTGTGGTGGGACAGATTAAGGTGTAATTTGCTTACTACAGGTTTAATCCATATTCATAGCACATATAAGCAACTGCCCTGTAGGGCTCAATACCACCTTCTGAGTGAATTGACAATTTCTTAGGAGTATATGCTTCCAGAAAATAAATCAACTTGCTGATAATGGATCATGTAAAGAGTCACTACTGTTATTAGGAACGTAAATTTGCCAGAACAATGGAACTGCCATTGGGAGACAAGTGCAGCTGAATAAAAGTCAGTATTAAAAAGAATAAAGCTAACTTTCCATTTTCACAAGTATATGAAAATAAAGGGATTCATCTTGCCTACAAATCAGATGTATAAGCCTAAGCTAGTTTCCCTAGACTCCCTCTGTCAGTTGCTGGAGAGGAGCACTGTTAGTGCATCTCACTGTTACACAGGCCACACAACCCATCACTTGGTAGTGTCACTATTCTCTCAAAATTTTATTGAGGAAGCCAAGGATGACATACACATCTAATTTTTAGATGTTACAAGTTAGGCAAGATAAACGCCACGTACTTTGCAGTTTCAGTTTTAATGGATTTGTGCTCAACATCACCAGTCATCTGTTCACTGTAATCGCTAATATCCACTCAGCTGTAACTACTATGTTTTGCTTGGTTTTGAGTTAAGAACTACCATTTTTTTTTGCATATTTGCATAAGAAGCCATACATATTCTACTCAAAGTGTTTCAATAATTAATAAGCTAAAAGGTGCGGTATCTTTAAGATCATTTCCTTCCTGGAAATAGTTGATAAACTACAAACATGAGTACTGAACGCAGTTCTTTCCTTAACAGAGACACATTTAAGATGCAATTTTACACAGGGGGCCAGTGGAGTTCTTTTTTTAAAGTAAATTCTTTTACATAAAAATACTACATATTCATGCAACCTCAAAAATGTAATCAACACGCACAAAAATGTATTAAAGAAAGTAAATTCTCCAGGATGCCTGGAGCAGAATAAAATAATCTTATAGAATACAGCAGCACAAGCTCACTAAGTCAGCACATTTACATGTTAGAATAATGTATTTTTTAAACTCACTTTATCAACACCAGCACTTAAAATATAATTCCCCTTTTTGTTCCATTTCAGGGCAAATATTGGACCTTTATGTTGACCTAAGGTGCTTGCAAGGTTACCTGGAATAAAGAGAAGGTTAATATTACCATTAGTTTATAAATCAGTCAAATCACAGTTCACTGCTGCTTGATGCTTAAGAACGATAACTGACTTACCGTCCTCTGTCCATATTCTTGCAAAACCATCATACGAGCCCGTAGCCAATAGTGTTCCATCACTCTGTTGGGATATACATAAATGACAAAGGTTGATACTAGATGAAATCTGTTTCAACCAACCTTTTCCTTGTCTTTTCTTTTTAAGGTTTGTGCACTGTGATTTATGGGAAATCTGAGTCCACACATTGAGACAGATTATACTATGATTTCAACTAAAGGTTCTTACTGCAGACAGCAAAGAGGAAATAAAAGTCTCTAACATACTGTAAAATACTGGGCCACACCATCAGATAGTAATTTAATCAAAAGGACTACAAAAAGAAAACAAGATACAACAAATTCGGGATTCTTCCAGATTACAATCGGATACTACTTTTTAGATATACAGAGCTTTTAAAACAGCAACAGATCATCTAAAACCTGACTAAACTGCCAGTTCAGTGAAATTCAAGCACCTATACTTCAAAGAAGGACCTAAATACCTAATCCAGCTACACTTATGCAGAACACCTTGTCATGACTTAACCCCAGCTGGCAATTCAGCACCACACAGCTGCTCGCTCAGTCACCCTGTTCCCAGTGGAACTGGGAAGAGGATCAGAAAAACAAAAAAAGCAAAACTCCTGAGTCAAGATACAGACAGTGTAATAACATAGAAAAGTAAGGGAAAACAATAACAACAATAACAACAATAATAACAACAGTAACAGAAGTACAGAGATAGAGCACCAGCCGCTTTTCTCATTCAGCAATATCTAAAGCCAGTGGGGTGGATTTCACCTCTGCAAACTGACTTTATTCATCCAGAATCTTCTTCTGCTGTGTTGCCACATTCAACGATGTCATCAGTGTACTGCAGGTGTTCCAGAGCTTCACCCTGGTCCAGTGCAGTCTGGATCAGGCCATGCCAAATGGTGGGGTTGTGCTTCCACCCCTGGGGCACTGGAGTCCAGGTGTACTGGACACCCCTACAAGGAAAAGCACACTGTGGCCTGCACTCCTCTGCCAGAGGAGGGTTGAGAGCAAGGCGTTAGCAGTGTCAGTTGTGGTGTGCCACCTGGCTGCCTTCGACTCCAGTTCGTACTGGAGCTCCAGCACACCCAGCACGGCAGCACTCGGTGGCAGTATGATTTCATTCAGGCCACGGTAGTCTGCTGCCAGTCTCCACTCTCCATTAGGCTTTCACACCGGCCATATGGGTCTGTTGAAGGCTGAGTGAGTGTTGCTGATCACCCCTTGGTTCTCCAGTCAATGAATCAGCTTCTGGATGGGGATGGGTGGATCTCAGCTGGAGTGATATTGCCAACGGCACGCTGTTGTGGTAGTGACTGGCAGCTGCTGTTCTTTGACACTCAGCAATGCCACCACTGAAGAGTCCTCTGAGAGACCAGGCAAGGTAGACAGCTGTTTAATTTCCTCCATCTCCAAGGCAGCTCTATCAAAAGCCCACCAATACCCCTTTGGGGCCTTGAAACACCTGCTCCTGAGACAGTCCATGCCAAGAATGCACAGGGCCTCTGGGCCAGTCACAATGGGGTGTTTATGGCACCTAGAATCATAGAATCATAAAATCA